CTTACTCCAGCCACCAGAAAAACAACTCGTGTGCGTGTTTCCTGCAGTGCTGCTCACTAATGTCTTATACTATAAAAGGCAAAGCTATTGTCTTTCAGTTATCATTTTCACATGAGAAGTCGTGCCAAACATACTCTACCTTCCCCTTCCCCTCCATAAATCCAAATTATACTACCTTTAATGCTCTCTTCCCTGGAACTGGTAAGGTTCTCCTCTTCAAAGAAGTCGTGCAGCACTACAAAGTGGTGCAGAATGTACAAGTAAGAGATTGCGTGAGCAACCAAAATGGTTGTAGCTACCCAGCCTTTCAAAATTTATGCAAGTAAACACTACAGTGGGTATCAGCAGGAGCACTGTGTGAGAAAGCGCTGTGGTGAAACAGTCATCCTCCTTTCAAATGTCATCCCGTGCCTTGTCAAGACACAGTTGAGGAACACTCAAATGAAACAAGCTGCATGAGGAAGTTTTTTTACTCCGTCATTTCTTACTATCCCTCAGGCATGAAGCTGTCACAGATGGCCCATACATTCCAGCACATTCAGGTGAGCCTATATAATCCCCACTGCCTATTACCTCACAGTTCTTTTTTTCTTTTTAAATCTGTGCTGTCAGTACTACAGCTAAACTAATTTATTTATAGGGAAAACAAAGGAAAGCTTTTTTTAGGTAAATACATTACTGAATCCGTTTCTTGACAGATGCAAGATGAAGCAAGGTATATCCACTGTAAGAACAGTAAGGAGAAGCAAGGCAACACTCTTCAATAACACTACAGATTCCAAATTTCCATCATCATTAATCACAGAATCAATTAGGTTGGAAAAGACCTCTGAGATCATCAAGTCCGACCTGTGGCCGAACACCATCGTGTCAACCAGGCCATGGCACTAAGTGTCACGTCCAGTCTTTTCTTAAACACCTACAGGGATGGTGACTCCAACACCTCCCTGGGCAGCCCACTCCACTCCATTTATGTTGGCTACTTAATCTTTTCTACTCTAAAACTGAAAAAACCACAACCATTCTCATTAACTCTGGAACAGATACTTCTTTTGGCTGAATGGGAAAACACCTTAAGGGAAGACTGTTGGCTCCTAGAACTGTTTCTCACGAGACCAATGACTGCTCAAAACATACACCTGTTTATTTTTAAAGGCTTACTTCTTTCCTCTTCCATCCTCTCGGGAGGCCGCTCGGGCGCTGTCACCCGCGCCGGGGCAGCGCCGAGCCCAGCTCAGCTCGGGGCGCGCCGGGTGGGTCTCGCTGCGCTCCGGCACGGCCGCGGGCAGGGACCGGGATGCCCGTCGGGCGGGGAGGCTGGCATGGGGCGAGCCTGCTGTCAGGGGCCGGGCGCCGGGTCATTCCCGCAGCGCTCAGGCCCTCGCCGCAGCTCCCTCCGATTTCCTCCTCCTCCCGCTCCTCCTCCTGCTGTTCCAGCAGGCGCCGCCGCCCGCCAGGGGGCGCAGCCGCGCCGGGGCGCGTGAGCCCGGGGTTGTGGGCGGGCCCGCGCGCGCCGGGGAGCCAAGGCGCGCTCACCGCCGCTGTCTCTGCTACCACTGGCTGCGGCGGCGGGAGGGGCGGCGGCGGCGGCCAATGAGAAGAGGGGGCGGGGCCGCGAGGCCGCGCGGAGGCGGCGGAGGTGGGGGGGGCAGAGCGAGGGACTGGAGGTGCGTCCGCCATCTTGGAGGGGGCGGGTCGAGGGGGGGGCGGGCCGTCCCCGGGGTGCTGTGGGGGCGCCGGCGCCATGTTGGGGCCGGGGGGCGAAGGGGGGAGCGGGCTCGGGGAGCTTGCTGGGCTGGTTGGGCCGGCGTCGGTCTGCGGCGTCTTCTTAAATGTGTCATAAATGAAAACGTACGATAACGAGTGAGCGAGTTGCGTAACTTAACTGCTGGCCGCTGCCTTTTGCCCTAGCTGGCTGTGGCGCTGCCCTATGAAGTGCTAAATCGTCGCTGCCCTTTTCGATTCAAAGTGTGAAAATAAAGGTTTGTGACGCCCTTTAAAATTTTAAGCAGTGCTGCCTTTGCAAGTGTTGGCGTTGTGGCTATGTGAAGGGGTTTTTCAGAGGGGCTAAAAAATAACCCGCCCTTAAAAGGCAGTGAGGGCCGTTTGTCATCCCTTGTCACTTCTTTTATTGGCCACCACTTTAAACTGTGGAGATTGACATACTATGCGCAAATAATTGTCAAAGGATCTCTAATCTCGTGGATATTACTAAAATACTGGGGAGAAAGCGAGATAGAAATTTAATTTTTCTGCCGGGGAAACACTGTATTTACGTGACTTGAAGCTCTGGTCTGACCCAGGATACTCCAGAAGATTTTGATGTCCAGCATCTGCTTTGGACTCCTAGAAAACCTTTTAAATGTTTATACAGGCATGCCTACATCTGTGCCTGTGTCTGAAGTTCAGCCCATGAGAACTGCCCAGCTCCACAGAAAGGAATGGGACAACTCACAATAACATTGCTGGGAACAGGGTGGCTCAGTGTCACTGATATGCTGACAAATCTCTCAATAAAAATAGTAGTTTATGTTTTAAAAAAAGAGATTTCTCCCTTGTGATTATTTATTTTAAAATGAAGCCCAAGCTTTTCTTGCTCTTGGAATATTCTGCATTATGAGATGATGCTTGCTGATTAATTAAATTTTTAATATATGTGTTTGTGAATACTGAGTGTTTGGAAATTGTACGTGAGGAATATACCAAATACAGAGAAGATGGAGCCCAATGATGGGAAGAAGCTGAAAGAACATGACTGCCTGCCTTGGACAAAAGAGAAATTATGAATATATTAGAAAGTAGTAATGTATTTTGCTTGTTATTTGAAGCAAAAAAAAAAAAAAGGAAATATGTCTTTTTTGAAATTAATTACTTAAGACAAAATTAATGAGGCAGTTTTGAAACATATCTGAGTTTCCTTTGTTTTGCTTTTAACCTGGAACTGTAATATAGGCTTTCTGCAACATAGCAGCAAATTCTGCCGGTGAGCCAGTAAGCTCAGTTCTTCCCAAACTTGTTAGGTGGCAGAAGCTCACAAGCGATGCTGATCTGACATCTCAGCAACCTGCCTGCAGCACTCCTCCAGCAGCAGCGTGAGCTTCCTGGCGCTCTGCAATCTGGACCTGGACTGGCTACCTGCACCCAAAGGTGAGAGCAGCGGTCCCATGTGCCTACACATTCGCTAGCACCTCTTGTTAGGGTGACAAAGAAAGGAGTGACTGTCCTGGTGAGTGGTGCTGCTGAATTATGCTCTTGTTACATGTTCAGATGGACAATTTCATAGACAGGCAGGCCACAAACAGCTCCTGTGAGTGGAAGGAGGTGAAGCTGATCCAAAAGGAACTCTAGTCTCATCTAGTTCTCCAGGGATGTTTTTGTCAGCTTTAATGCGGTAGGCATGAGGGTGTTTCCTCATATGACCAGATAGACTTGGTGAATTAGAGACACCAGTTAGACTCCAAAAAACACAAAGTAGTCAAAGCCATGGACTTTGGAAAGCCATGGGCATTTGGAAAATGTTTTTTAACTCTCATGCAGCTTTTTGTCTTTTTCTGATGGGCTTGGCTCTTTGTTTTATAGACTCTTTTCTTCTTAAAGTGTCTTCATCAGTTGAGTACTTCCACCATCCTCTTCTCTGACACTTTCTCCGTTATCCTTCCTAGTGATTTAACTTGCTATTTTATAGATGAGTGTCCGCACTTCATTCTTTCAAAATGCAATTTTAACATAATGTTCTCTTATTACATTGATTAGTTTGAGTGTGGTTTATATGTAGTCTCTTGTTTTTCACACATCTTGAGTAAGATAACAGAAGAGACTACAGGCATTTCTATACAGATCACAGATCACTGCTACTTTACAAATTCGTTGCCAGCAAAATGTTTTAGTGAGACTACCTTTGGTTTATGTTAGAAATTTTTCTGTAACCCATAATTATTTATGAAGAGATGGGCTAATATTCCCCATAGGGACGTTGCTCACTAACTGGACTCATCTCAGCCTATTTACGGGCCCTCAGAATGTTTTGTTACTATGTTTTGTAATTCTTTTGCTCCTGTAGATACGTTAGAAAGTTATTTGGATATTATTTTTTTCCAGGCATTAAATGAAAAAATGGGAGGTTATGGGTCTCTGAGAAGCCTGTAAAATGGTTTTATTCTACCTGTGATGTAAGCATGTTTGCATTCTTGGCAACTGAAAATCTAACAAATTGTCTATTTGAGAAGTGGAGCTTCTAAAATCATAGGCTGTTACAGTCCTAAGGGAATCTTAAAACACAGGCAGAGACTGGCTATGAAAAGGAAAGGAAAAATTTGTGTCACTGTTTTAACAATAGACTTCTTTCATGTGGAGGACCTAGATGTCTGTTAATTACTAACTGGCTTG